TCACCATCAGCTCACCTTTCAGTTTCTCTCTGCAGATCATTGGGTAATGTTCACATGCAATGTCCAGCTGCTTCTGCGGGAAAGAGATCAGGGTGAATAAGTTTGAAAGACACCAAGTGCCTGTCTTTCACAAAGCGAGCCTTTGAATGCTTGACTACTGACACATTATCAAAGTGTCGTATCCTCCAAAGACTTTAAAGAAAATTGATTAGAAAGTAAATAATCCACCTCGTTCATGTTCATGCTAACGCCCGCCATTACTACAGTTGCTCACTTCCCTGTCCCGCGTTCTACTATGAACTAGCCTCACTGTACTGTAGCTACTGCGCTGTGATTGGTCGAAGGTCACTGTACTGTAGCTACTGCGCTGTGATTGGTCGAAGGTCACTGTACTGTAGCTACTGCGCTGTGATTGGTCGAAGGTCAGCCTTTGGGCTGAATGAATTTAGCCCAAATGGGCAGCATATGAAGGGGGCACCTTTCGTGACACCTTTCAATCAAAAGTCAATGACAGCTTACGCTACTGAGCTTGGGCTGAATAAATTAAGCCCATTCACAGGAAAAACCCAAGATATATCATATATCCTGTTTTTTTATTTTCTTTTTGGTGCTGTTGCTGCTGTAGGTTCAACCAAAATTCACCAAATTCTTTTTAATAATAATTTTTCATCTTTATTGTAAAAGATAGGGAGGGCTTAGCCCTGTAAGCCCATATACCAGCCGTCCCTGCTTAAGACGTTCCTCTTTGATAAAACTTATAGTTATGATCATTCAAGCTGTAGGGACAAAACATGCATTGCACCCTCAGTTTAATATTTTGCACCCTTAATGCTAAGTGCATTTTGGTCTTCTAAGCACACAGACTGTATGGGGATCTCCATGCGCACTTTCGAATTTGGTCCATGTAACCTGCAAAAGGTCCGGGTGAAGGTCACATAGTTACATTAATGTTACACAATGTCATCAGATATAAATTTCCAACACAAGTATCACATATGTATCAGGCAGATTGTCATGCAATTGGCTGAGCAGACCCAAATTAGCAAAATTGCCAGTATGTTGTTAGTCCGGGCAACAGATTGCTCTTTATTTAGAGAATATTTGTTGATTAGTCCCTGTCAAATGATAAATGCTAGTATCAACATGTCAGATCAGTTTTCATCACATCCAACAGAGTGAAAGCGGGATATGAACTCCTCCTGAATGACTGTGCAGACCTGTGGGATTGCCTGCTGGCTTTAAGTGCATTATGTACCAGCTGTACCATATGTGTCTATTGATGCTATAGAAAACCTAAAGCACCACCTTAACATGACAAACCACCGCTAAATTATACAGTGTATGTTGTAAATAGCGGGGTGTTTTTACTGGAGTCTGAGAATGATTTTGAAATTTTAAGTGCTTCTTCTTGAGAGCTGAAGCCAAAAGCTGCAAACTGGTAGTTTGTGCTGAAGGCATTTTCCTCACATGTAGAGCCGGTGACATTCAACAAGTCCAGCCAGGCTTCACTTCCTGTTTACAACTGTTTCTAATGCAAATTCAATGTGATGATACATTATACCCCACATGTGGGAATATATCTATTATTTTCTTCTGCTTTTTTATCTTTTCCTGAGAATGGTCTCCCTACAGTCAAAATATCTGTCCCTTTCGACTTAACACTTTGCAGCCTTATTTCCACAAGAAACTATCAGAGGAAACACTTGCATAAACAAAGCTTCTCTCTCCTTGTGTGTTCTCAAGCAGGTCAGCTACATGCTGTTGTGTCTCTGTTATAGGGGCTGCACACTTGTGCATACCTCTGTGGAACACACTCAAAGGAGTAAATGACATTTCTGCAGAATATGACCACTCTGAGTATTTGACAGCATGGTATTATGAGGCTGTAAATTGTCAGAAGTCTTGCACAAACAACATGTTGTGGGATGAAAAAAGTGACTGGATCCTGATATCAATAGATGTACACCAATCAGCAATAACATTGTGACCACCTGGGTCTCCAGTTCTTTTCCTTCCTTGGA